ACACAAGATTTTAATTAGTAAAATCATAACAAATCTATTTTTAGTAAAAAAAAATCATAGCAAAGGCCCCATATGATGCTCTTGGAGATCGATTCACATTTCCCAAAGCATATCATGACTTTTGATTCCAATAAGATACCTATTACTGAATTCTCAATGAGATTAAGGATAACAGCTTAATTTCCTCTGAATCAGGTGAACATATTCCGGACATTAAGTCTTTGGATGAAAGCGTTGCAAACGTACAAGAGTCATCTAAAAGGGTTGAAGAGGTGCAAATAGCGAATTTCGATTATACAACTAGAATCTGGTGTGAATAAAGAACGCAAACAGAATTTTGATAAATTTCATTCTACAAATCAGCCAAAAGTTCTGGTGTATTTGGAAGAGGTTATATACCAACTCATATTACAACTATCAGAATATTTGGCAGCTTTGTTTCTAATTCTTCACCAACACATAAGGTACATTCATTAATAGATACATAAATTATTACGCAAATTATTTTCTTTTTGTTATAAATAATAATTAATCAGCCTTAATTTATTTGTAGCCAGTTGAGTTTTCTAATTATTCTACTCCTTCACCGCCTTCAAATATATTGGATCTAAATATACTGGAAACTTATTAATGGGAAAATATGGGTCAAGATCAGAAGGTTCATATGGATCTTCCACAATACTGCAATAACCCTCTAATTTTTGATGAACCTAAACGAAACGACGGTGATGATTATAATGACGATGGCAAAAAAAAGTGATGCGGAAAAAGAAGTGCCTTTTGGAACCGGTGCAAAGCCCTTATTACAAGAACAAGAAATTAGTTCAAATTTTAAATCTGCTCGGTCTGTACAAAATTATAATAATTTTCTTGGTTGTATTTACCGGAGAAGAGGAGGAGATTACTCGATATCTGCTCGGTCTGTACAAAATTATAATAATTTTCTTGGTTGTATTTACCGGAGAAAAGGAAGAGATTACTCGATATACTGTTAGGGCGAAATTATTTCATATGGATCGTGAGCCTCAATGGTAAGAACGAGGGGCTGGAATGTCATCTCGACTAAGTTTGTTTATTTATTGCATTGTTATATATTATATTTTTATACTAAAATGTTTATTTAAAATACTATTATTATACTGCAATTTAGTCATGCGTGCAGATAACGTACTGCGAGTGATTTTGAATATTCACGGAATGAGTGTTGAACGATCATAAGAAAAGTTTATGAGAATTGTCGCATTTGAGAGAACTAGTACTACTTCAGTTCATTTTGAAATAAAGGTTTGTCCAAAATTATCCACTAAAATAATTTTGATTTCTTTTTTTTTCTTATTTGAATTTATTTTTTGATAGCTTTCTAACGCGAATGTTGCGAATAACTTATGTGATGCTATACTGGAGGCAATACCCACATCTAAAAATGATAAATTTGGTTAGGTTTTAAAACCTTTAGGTAGTGTTGTCAATTGGATAGTTTTGGTTTTTGATTTCTTTTTTTTTCTTATTTAAATTTATTTTTTGATAGCTTTCTAACACGAATGCCGCGGATAACTTATATTATGCTAATACTGGAGGCAATACCACATCTAAAAATAGTAAATTTGGTTAGGGTTTAAAACCTTTAGGCAGTGTTGTCAATTGGGCAGTTTTGGTTTTTGAACACTATGCTCAAAACCTGTCTAAAACCAAAACTAAATTTAGTTGGTTTTGGACAAATATATATATAAATATATAAAAAATTAAAATTTTAATTTAATATATATATATCTTCATATGAATCGGTTCTAAAATTAATGTATAAAAGGGACAAAGCGATCATTAAAAAAAATTTTACATCTTTAAGATTAACAATGTGTCTTGTACACGAGTGTTGCCAAAGAAAACTTCGATTTAAAAATTATAGTTTATTGATCGAGCACTAAATATGATTATGTATTAATTCTACTATGTTGAGCCACAACCTTGTGGTCAGTTCATTTTACCCGTAATAATACGAATAATTTTTGAATATTATTAGTTAGAATTAAATTACGTAGCAAGATAACAACCCTAATATTAAATTATAGTTTGAACCAAACCAGATTAGGTTCGAAATTTATTATATGAAAACTTGGTTCTTAGATCTTTAATTTAAAACCTAAAGACAGCGTTGTCAATTGGACATGACCAATTAAATTTTTTAATTAAACAATGTTGAACATAGTTAAAACTGTTCACAACTGTCCAAAATTGTTTGAGATATTTAAGATCGTAATGATTATCGTAGGCTGTAATAAATGTCAGGTCGCAATACTTGTCGTATTTATATATAGCACATTGTAGATTTGGATCTAGTGTTTCAGGCGAAAATAAAATGTCTTTACACTTTCTGTATGGACTTTGATAATTAAGCGCAGATTTTATAAGCTTCGCGAATGATTTTTGTTTCAAAAGAAGTATATAGTTCAAATTATAACATAAATAAGACATGAGCCAGAGTATGCGAATACTTTGTATAATTGTCAGGAAACTAAAAATTAGAAAGACCAATTTTATATAGTGCAATTATTAAAGTGAACTAATATATTTAAGTTTACTAAAACTGCCTAAGAGGTAGGGATAAACTGAGCTTATTATTTTCAATGTTTTTTTGAAATTGAATACTTTCAAATATTTTGTGCTCTCCATGAAGATTAAGGAACTATTTAAGTTACGTATTACACATCGATTTATTTTGAAATCTAAAAGTTTTTGATGCGCAAAATTTAATGTGAACTGTTACAGACAAAACTTGCATCCTGAATGTTATCAAAAGTTGAACTAAAAAAAACGAGGCAAACTCCATTTATAAAACAAAAATATTTTAAAAACGGCATAATAAAATAATTTTATCTGGCAGTTTACTATCATTTTATTATTGGGCAAAAACAAAAGTTTTAAAAATAGTTTAAATAGTTTAAACTGTTGCTTCTGCCCATTAATTTTATTATATGGCAGAACATCATAGTAAGCCGCTGGATAAACCCGTTATCAGGCAGTGCCTGTCTGATAACTATTAAATACATGTTTATGTGTACGTACGTACCATAACCCATGTTCAATGATATAAAAAAAAAAAAGAAAAAACACTAATCTTCCACAAATTCTTCGATCAAAAATTGATTTACTAAATCTTCAGGCGAATAATCCAAGTTTATAAATGCGGTTAATATGTTAGTATTATTTACACCACTTATTTCTTGTTTATTTTCAAAGTAATATTGTGATAAATCAATTATTTCACTAATAAGAACTAACTTGCATGAATTCGACATAGTACGTATCTTCAGATGATTATTCTAAATTGAGCAAATTATACTCTTCATTTAGAACCAGTACCTCACCAATTGCTGAAATGTTGACTGCTTCACGTAATTCAGCCTTCATAAGTCCTTCTTCACAGCTGTTTAACTCGGATTTTATGCTAGTCATGTAGTATGATCTAACCTTAACTATATCTTCCAATTTCTCACTACTTAATCCTGTTCGTTTGTCGTCGAAATTCCATTTTAATATAGAAAAATTCTTATATTTAGTAACATATGCTATATTGCATTACAACATTTTAATATCTTTAATTATTCATTATTAAAGTATGCTATATTACATTACAGCATTATAATATAAAGTTAATATTTTTTTATTAAAGATAAAGATACAAATTGTAAATTATATATAAAATTTATGATATTTATCTTTTCTTTTTAAAATCTTACAAAATTCTATTAAGCAAATCATTTTTAGGCTATTAAATAAAATTATAGAGCAGACCATTTGGTTATAATAATAGTAAAATTATTAAAATTGATTAGATATTCATTAAAATATAAATATTTAAATTTTAGTTATTAAAAATTATTTTTAAAAAATTATATTATGATTATATAAATTAACCAATCAAATTAATCAGTTTGTATAATTGAGTCAACTAAAACAAATTTTACAATATATAGAAATATATTTTTTTAAATATTTTATTTTCAATTATTATAAAATGCACCTATGGCGGTTTTGCACCTATTATATATTTTTATTATGTTTTTTAAAATTTTCTGTTTTTATAAGTTTTATATATAAAATTTTTAACCCAATTTTTTCACGTTAAAGTTAGAATTAGGTTTGAGAAGGGTTTTTGGGGCGTAGAATGTTTTTACTTAGAACACCTTACATCGATTAATTAGCCAGTTTTTGAGATAATGTATACATAGGTGTAAAACACCATAGGTGCATTTTAGTAAAATTCTTTATTTTCTAAAATTTTACTATTATAAAAAGAATATTTTGTTTTATATATTATAAAATTTTAACTAAAATTAATTATAACTATAAGAAGTTTTACTAGTAACATATTTTTTACTTTCTATATAAATCATTGTGCTACTAAAATTATATAACAATAGGCTGCTATCAATAGAAATAAGGCAAATTAATATTTTAAAAAAATTTAAAACTTTAACTTTTATAGCTTATATCTTGATAAAATTTAAAGCTATCTTAATTTATATTTAAAAGAAAGCTTAAATCTAAGTGTTTATTTGAATATAATTTATTAAGATAACTTTAAAATTTATTGAAATATAAGCTGTGAAAGTTAAGACTTTAAATTTTTTAAAATATTAATTTGTCTTATTTCTATTAATAGCAACCCAAATGATCTTACTTCTAAAAAAATTTTTTTTAATATGATTAATAAATTTAATATTTGTATTCTATAATATATGAGTTTCATTAGACTAAACAAATTGAATTAATTTTTTATTAAGAATTTTACTAAAATATATCTATGGTGTTTTACACCTATATATATATTATTTCAAAAACTGGCTAATTAATCGTTGTGAGGTGACCAATATTACTGACCCATTTTTCAAATTTCCTTATTTAGAGGATCTATATAAATTAACCAATCAAATTTGGTGATCTACATAAACTAACCAATCAAATCGTAAAATTTTTACGAAGCA